GGCTGTATTCTAGAAGACTGGAATTTTACTCCTTGACAGGCAATGATGGCAAAGATATTCAAAGCTCATCTTGTCCAGTACAAACCTTAAGTTATTATTATTATTAATAAACAAATGTGTCTGGATTTTATTCATTTTTTAATAAGTTTATGGACTTAGATGATAAATTCCATCCTTTTTTAACACTCTTATGCTGTGGAAGGTTTCTTAGAGTGATAATCCTCTTCCTACCTTTACTTCTAAAATGACTCGGCCCCTCTGATTCTCCTTTTTTAAAAGATCATGTTACTGACCACTTTTAACGTCATTAGCTCTAAGAGGTGTTTGTTGCCAGTGTGCAAACTCTTTAAGAAACAGGGTCTGCGACATGTGACCTACAAACCTCAGCAACACAATTATTTGTGCCTTATTCGACACTGAATCTGCTAGCTGAACCTTTATTTTATTTTCCTGTGTGGACTCATTGTTAAACTGTCTCTAGGCAGTTGAGTGAGGAAAGCGGTTATTCATCCATATTACGTTACATTGCAAAATAAACAAACCTTTTCCAAACATGTTGGCATCTTATGTGCAACGAACAACAAAGAAGTTACAGATAAGCTCTGTGTTGCTCATGTAGAGAACCTAAAAGACTGCCATAGCTCATTTAGCACACAAAATTCAAGGTGTGGACTTGTTTGTCTTGACTTCAGTCTGACTCAAGCTTTTCAGCCTCTCACTCAACCTCCACCTTCACCACAACCATGTAAGCTTTGATTCACAATAGCAAAAACGCTAGATTTCCATCTCTGTGTCCTCTTGACACGGGTCGACAGAAACCGGCGGCCTGGACTGACTGCAATCAGTCAGTTAGATTTAATGGTGAGAAAACCAGCAGCAGTGATTTGTTTTTGTTTTACCCAGCAATGTTTTTATGTGAGAAGCGAACACACATTACTTACAGCAAAATTGTTTCAGTTTTGCCTGAGGGAATCAAAACCTCTGGTATTCAACACAAACACAAGCCCAGTAGGGATCACATCTGGTACGGCACGTACAGCAAGCTGTCACAGAGCCCGTTTGGCAGCATTCCCTGGTGAGGTTCAGGCTTGTCCCCATCCTTTGCAACAAGCTACAAGTTGGAAGTTTGCGTAATCTGGACATCTTGGTTATCCAAGGTGGGCAAAGATAAAGCTCACAATGTTTAGTCAGTATTTGTACGCTGTGCTCGTGATAGAGGAAAGTAACAGGCTTAAGGTTAACTTAAAAGGAAGGAAGATAGGGTCCATTATTTTAAGAAGTTTCCTTTTCACATACAGCAAATTTCATGATTCATCCTTTAAAATGGTCTTTTCTATTTTTAAATCAAGTGCAGAAGATAGCTTTCAATCAAGCCATCTTCTTTTTAAGATAAAAGGGATGGTGAACGAGATGAAAATGTGGTGAGGAGATAGTGACTTTGGGTTTTAAGATAAGATGTGTCTGTTCCTGAAACATTGATTGTGTGTGCTCACAGATGGGAAAGAAAATTCCAGAAGACTAGAAATAATTGTTTTTCTGGTTTTTGCTGTGTGCCTTTCTCTGTTTGCACTTCTTTCTTATCTTCAACGTTCTAGTGAAGTAAAGGCTAAAGAGCCCCCCAAAACATGAGTACTTTTTAGAATGCAGTTTCTTGGGTGGTCCAACTTTGTGAGTGGGAAATCGGAGTTGAGCAGACTCTGCTGATTCAAATGCTTACTGGGAATTTGGCAATTCCAACTTCAGACTTATTCAGGAGTGCACCAATAGAGGCCAAAAAGTCCTTTGAGTTGAGTTTGAGTTGGCTTCAGTAATGGTAACAACAATGATAAGGGAGGGAGCCTGTTTATTGGGGTGTGTGAGTGTGTGTTGCAAGGACGTGCCTTTAGGGTGTATGAATGTGCCAGACAATGATTATTGGGGAGTGTCGTGTTGAATCCCATTAATCTTATGTCATACTGAGTTGAATTTGACGTCATGAGTGAAGCGGAGCCGTTTGCCTCGGCCTTGGAGTGTGAAACTTAAATTGCTTATTTTGCTTCTGATGTCAGTGATTGCTGCTGAATCAGGGAGAGAGATGTAGTCTGACCCAGCATGCATGTGAATGTAACAAAGGCAAGCCAGAAATATTTAAAGTATACTATTATTTGAATGTAACAGAGCAGATGTTTATTGAACTGAAGCTAATGCAAAGCAGTGCATAGAGGGGAGAGTCTCAATACAAGGATGTTAGAATATTACATTTATAGTGAGCTTATTGTTCATTGTTTTAGTAACATTTCTAAAGAGATCAGGCCATAAGAAAACCTGCCAATAGCAGAAAAGCCTCTGCGTGTCCTTTCTCAGAACACAAATGTTTCACCCCTCACCTAAGAGGGTAATAAAATCTTATGGAGAGTAATTTAATGTAGGTGGTACTGAGAGTTGAGCCTTCAAGTCAAGAGAGTTACTTTGGGTCACATGAGCCAAGGTGTGGTCCATGACATGGGACATTACCATCACAGGGGTCAAGGTGTGGATCCTCTGTGAAAATTGCCCTATCCCGCCATTATGTGAGCTATTAGGTTACACGGGTTAAGGCATGAGTGGCGTTTAAATCGCCTGAGAAGGGATCTGAAGACCGGAATATCCTTTCTCCTGTAAGTGTAGATGTATGGCCAAGTCTCGTGCTGTGTTGTGCCGTGGGTATGTGGTTTGGTTTTTTGGTTTCTCCTGTGTGTATTTCAGGCCCTTAAGACTACTGTGAACTGAGAACCTACACAAACATTCACAGATTTCAGGTCTTATAGTGCAGTAATTTCTCATAATGCCTCCCTGTTTACACTTTCGGGTATTAGAAGCTAACCTCATGCTGTGTGTTTAGACTGGAGTTAGACTGGGAAAGAAAAATGATCCCTGCAAATGCTGAGTAAACATCACAAAGAGACACTATAGTGTTTTTTGTGTTGTAAGCATTGATGTACATCAATAACCTGCACGGTAATAATCGTTTTAAGTTTTTTGTGATGTTTTTACCTCTAATTTTTACCTACGTATCTACTCAACCTCTTCCATTTTTCTCCCACCTGACTCCAGACGTCCAACACCTTGTCGTGGGCTTTGTATCACTTAGCGAGAGACAGCAGGGCTCAGGATCGACTTTACAGCGAGGTGAATTCGGTTTGCCCAGACAAGCGGGAGCCAACCATGGATGACCTGAGCAGGATGCCCTTCCTGAAGGCCGTCATAAAGGAGACATTACGGTGAGCTGACAGCTATTTGCGTCTGTCTCTCAAAGGAGTCAAGTTTTTCTTAACCGTAAGCATTTTAACCGAAGACCTGATGGTTTTAAAAACAAGTCTGTAATTCATAAATGATCTACAGACACGTGATGTATTTTGCATCTGCGTGCTGGAAATCATCAAGTTGATGTTTTGCACTGAATCTTTTCAAAACTTTGCTCATCGAAACTACACAAGTTAGTGATGTGAAGTCATTCGTGACAGGGAACAGTTTGAGTTTGAGACAAGCAGTAACAAGATTTTGTGAAAGCTGGGATTTTTTGGATGCCTCTCGTTTACTTCTCGGATGAGAAATTCCAGTGAGTGCCAAAGCTCCTCATGTAGGTTTTCACACACAGGTGCTAAATCCTGCTGGAAGACTGAACTGGCAACTTCATGAAGGTTGCCAACAGAATGATAAAGTGCTCTGAAACCTTCTGCTAGACAGCAGAGTTGAATTTGGACATGATAGAAGGAATAGTTCTGCAGGCTTCTTGAAGGACAGTCAAAGCTCTTCTTTGGATGTTTCTGCCTTTTGTTCTGTTCTCTGTCAACATGATCCCACACTGCTTCAATAATGTAGAGGTCCGAGCTCTGGGGAGGCCGATCCATGACTGATGGTGTTCCACTGTTTGTTTTTCTATCCAGGTATGATTTTACTGCATTAGCAGTGTGTTTGGGATTATTCACATGCTTGAAAATAAAGCTGTTCTTAATCCGATGCTTTCCAGCACTTTAAAAGCCCTTTGGAAGCAAATTATAGAGAAATGAGGGTTGGCTCAGGACTTTGAGAGAGTATTTTATGAGAACGGCCCAACCCAGCAATGTCAAACTGTTTTAAGATCACTTACTTAGACAAGTCAGAGCTGCATTAAAAGCAACATGTGGTTAAATCAAGTTTTAGTCTTAATAAAATCGTGCTTTTGCAGCCCTATGCCTCAATTCCACAGTTTAAAAGCGTCAGGATATTTAGAGGTAAAAGTTCAAGTCTGTGAAAACCTTCAGCTACATATGCATGCTGGCTTTCTTTGAAAATCTGATTAAATGAAGCACACACAGGAAGTTCTCATGCTGAATATGTTGTTTTGGACGGTTTCCTGCTTCTGTGGGTGCAGAATGGAAACCTGTGTGGTATTTGCAAATATTCAAGTGGCTGCTTGTGTACAAAATGGTTTGCTCAGTGTGTGTCATCACCTTTGAAACTCAAAAATTGCTGTGTTGTTCTCACACTGCCACACACCTTAGATGACTAAATTTCAGAGAGGTGTGTTTTTATGAAGGAAAAAAAACGTAACAATCTCGAGGATTACTGATGGTGTTTGCTGTGTTCCCGCATCTCTGTCGTCTCTGTGACAGACACCTATCAAAAACCCTCAGTCAGCAAATCACATCACAGTAAGAATAAGAGCAAAATACACCTCTGCCAAGGCTGAAAACTCCCTCCATGCCAAACTCAGAATACTGGTGGCATTTTCTTGAGCAATTAAAGGCAATACCATCCTTAAAAAATAAATAAATACATTTTGGTATGTACTTTTAAAGATGGCCTGTATTTGTATAGCGCTTTTCTAGTCCCTAAGGACCCCAAAGCGCTTTACACATCCAGTCATCCACCCTCACGTGATGGCACAGCCACCCTGGGGCGCACTGACAAAGGCGAGGCTGCCGGACACTGGCGCCACCGGGCCCTCTGACCACCACCAGTAGGCAACGGGTGAAGTGTTTTGCCCAAGGACACAACGACCGAGACTGTCCAAGCCAGGGCTCGAAGCGGCAACCTTCCGATTACAAGGCGAACTCCCAACTCTTGAGCCACGACACAAAACATTTAATTCTGTTCTGCCTTGCAAGACTTCTGCCACAAACCCCTGGTGACGGATCCAGTTTCTCCAGTCACTTCTAACTTGGACCAAGTCCACCTCTGGTAGCATATTACAAGAAAATGTGTGCTCGAGTTCCTGAGAAATCCTCACATCCTCTGTGGCAGTAATAGTAATCTGTGGTGGAGTAATGGTGCATTTTCAACACGATTTGGTCAAACTGTGACCTCAAACATTTACTGGCGACTCTGATCATGACACAACAGGAAAATGAAGCTTTTCTTTTGAGTTTTCACTGATTAACTTTGTCCTCCTTTTACAAGTTGAACTTTATTCTCAATCAGTGGATTAAGTTCTTTCTAACTAACAGTGAGTTCAGGGTCAAACATGGGTCAGAAAATGAAGAATAATACTAAGTAAGCAATTCTTAAGCCACATAGCTGTGTCATTATTTCTTTCCTTTTTTTAAAAAATTTAAATCAATCATGACAGTGACAAGGCCAGAGTCAAAAAATCCTTCGGGATTATTTGCATTTTGCACCCATCCCAACAGGTTTTATCCCACAGGGGCGGTGATTTGATTCAGCCTGTATCATAAAGAGGGGTAAAGGTTCACAAGGTTAAAGTTACATATTTCAGTGTTTTTGCACTTTGAAGGTCTTGTACTAATTGATTTATTGCGAATGACCTCTTGTGACCCATCCCCAACAACTTCATGTTCCACACTTGATGAACTGCTCTGTGGAGAAGCAGCCGTGGCTCAAGCGTTCAGAAAAAAACGAGTCCAAATCTGCCCGGAAAGCTACCTGTGTACTTAGTTGCATACAGTTTTTTTGGCCTCGGTGGAGCTCTGTCTGACTGCCCTTCTAGTTTAAAAGCAGTTGTGTGGTGGTGGTGGTGTTTTCTTTATTTTCTGTGTTTATAGTTAAGCTGTTCCAGCCAGATTGGTAGTGTTATGAAGGGCAGGCTCAGTGAGAACCATCGGTAAATTAAAGCTGGTTTTATCTGTAAAGGACAAACTGTTCCAGTAGTCTGCTCTGACCCATCCAGTTCTCCCATCTGTAACACAATACCTCCATGCATACGCAATGTTTTCACAGGACTCTGTGCAGCCATGTGGAAAGCGAAGTACCTGCCATCATTCAGTAGCTTTTAGGAGCAATAACTTGCATTAATGGTTTTCGTTATGACTTTATCAGTCTCTCACATCGTTGTGGAGGCCCAGTCTTCTTTAGTTCATTGAGATTTGAGGTCATTTGTTTATGCACAGTTCTCTTAAGGTCAACAGCATCAGTCAGATTCGGGTCTGGAGTTTGACAGGACCACTGCTGTGCTTGGGATCATTGTCCTGTTGCGTGACCCAGTTTCAGCCAAGCTTGAAGTGTCAGACAGATTTCCTCAGGTTTGACTCTAGAATATTTTGGTATACAGAGGACTTCATGGTTGACTCATTTACTGTAAAACAAACCTAAATCATCACCCCTCCACCATCGTGCTGACAGCTCGTATGAGGTGTTTTGTGCTGATATGCTGTGTTAGGTTTTGTGCATTTTGGCCAAATGTCTCTACTTTGGTCTCGTCTGTTCTCACCCTGTGGAAAAAATTAGTTCCTACATCAAATTATCGTCAGATTTATGAAACTTGTACTGGCCTATTTTCTTCTTAAAACTGTGCTTATGTTATCAGTCAATCATTTAGAATCAGCCTTGTGCTATGAAACGCCAGGACTGCCATAATGAATTAATTAAATACACTATTAAATAATTAATTAAATGTGGCAATAATTAATTAAATAAATATTTACGACACATTTAATTAATTATTTAATGGTGTATTTAATTAATTCATTATGGCAGTCCTGGCGTTCCATATTGTGCAACCTCCATGCAATTTGCATATCATCTGCAGATTGCTCCGCCCGCATTTATCAATCAATCAATCAATCAATCAATCAATCAATCAATCAATCAATCAATCAATCAATATTTATTTATATAGCATGTTTAAAAACAACAATGTTGATCAAAGTGCTTCACAAATTAGGAGCGAAGAAAATAATTTACCAACAGCAACACAAAACAACCTAGAAACCAGCCAAAATTCAAATTCAAATTCATTTGAATTTGAATTTGAATTTTGGCTGGACGTCACGAACGCAGAGTCACGAACGCGGCCGTGACTCTGGCAGACGAGCTGAACACTTTCTATGCTCGCTTCGAGGCTGCAGCTAAGGACTCCAACGATGCTAGTGCTAGCGGCGCTAACGGCTGCAGACAGGAAGATACTGCCAGCACCGGAAACGTGCTCGTCATCTCCGAGCATGAAGTAAGGAGAGCCTTCAAGAGAGTGAACACCAGGAAAGCAGCAGGACCAGACGGCATCCCAGGTCGTATCCTCAGAGACTGCGCATACCAGCTAGCTCCTGTGTTCACTGAGATATTCAACATCTCTTTATCTCAGTCGGTGATCCCCACATGCTTCAAAGAGTCCATCATTGTTCCTGTCCCGAAGAAACCCCACCCTGCTTCTCTCAATGACTATCGCCCTGTAGCCCTCACCTCAGTAGTGATGAAGTGCTTTGAACGCCTGGTCAGAGACTTCATCATTTCTTCACTACCAGACACACTGGACCCACTACAGTTCGCTTACCGTCCAAATCGTTCCACAGACGATGCCATCTCTCATCTCCTCCACACATCACTCACTCACTTGGACACTAGAAGGGGGAATTATGTTAAAATGCTCTTCATAGACTACAGCTCTGCATTTAACACCATAATTCCCTCCACACTCACCACCAAGCTGGAGCATCTGGGACTCAGCTCATCTATGTGTCAGTGGATCTCCAACTTCCTAACTGGCAGACCACAGGCAGTAAGGATGGGCGGACATGTCTCAGCCTCCACCACTCTCAGCACTGGAGCCCCCCAGGGGTGTGTTCTGAGCCCCCTGCTGTACTCTTTGTACACATATGACTGTGTGGCCACTACCAGCTCCACCACCATCATCAAGTTTGCTGACGACACCGTCGTGGTGGGCCTGATCTCTGATAACAACGAGACGGCCTACCTGAAGGAGATTAGGAATCTGGAGAACTGGTGCCAGAGGAACAACCTCCTTCTAAACGTCAGTAAGACAAAGGAGCTGATAGTGGACTTCAGCACTAAGCAGGAGAGGAACTACCAGACCCCCGTCATCAACGAGTGCCCAGTGGAGAGAGTGGACAGCTTCAAATACCTCGGAGTTCACATCACGCAGGACCTGTCATGGTCCTGTCACATCAACACCGTGGTGAAAAAGGCCCGACAGCGTCTCTACCACCTCAGAGCTTGAGAGACTTCCAACTGCCCTCCAAGGTGCTCAGGAACTTTTACTCGTGCACCATAGAGAGCATCCTGGCGGGAAACATCTTAACCTGGTTCGGGAACAGCACCATGCAGGACAGACGAGCTCTACAGAGGGTTGTGCGATCACGAGCCACCTCCGCTCCGAGCTCCCTGACCTGCACTCAATCTACAGCAGGCGGTGCTGGACCAAGGCCAGGAAGATCGTGAAGGACCTCAGCCATCCCAACAACAGACTGTTCTCTCTGCTGAGGTCAGGAAAGCGATTCCGCTCCCTGAAGACCAACACAGAGAGACTGAGGAGGAGCTTCTTCCCGCAGGCGATACGGTCTCTCAATCACACCACCACACAGTACTGACCCACACATATGGTTCTTACACACACACTGGACTTCTGGACTTTGTTTTCACTTCATCACTTAAATCACTTTAAGCATATTTGCACTGCACAAGACATAATGTGGATTGCACAACACTGGTCACTATATTCTTCATTTCCAGTTAATACTTGTACAGCTGCTGTTATTGTGTATATATTTATTTATTTATATTTCTTCATACATTCTTATATAGTTCTATATTGTGTATTTTGTTGTACAGTTATTTTATTTTCAACTTTAATTTATATATTTTATCTTATTCTTTCCCAGTTAAATTTACCCTTCATTCTAATTTGTGTTGTACAGTTATTTCATTTTTTATATTTTATATTTTTTTATTATTTTTATTTCCTATCTTATTCATAGCCCTTTCCTTTTTTTTTTTTTTTTAGGTCACGAGCAGTTGTCTAAGCATTTCACTGCATATCGTACTGTGTATGACTGTGTACGTGACAAATAAAATTTGAATTTGAAAATTTAGTCAACTAACTTAAGTCAAAGCCAAAGTAAAAAGATGAGTCTTTAAGCGAGATTTAAAAGACTGAATAGACTCGGAAGTGTGAATAGTAATAGGGAGATTGTTCCATACTCTAGGTGCTGCGATAGCAAAGGCACGATCGCCTCTGGTTTTAAGCCTAGACCTGGGCTGCATTGAGAGCATCTGGTTAGAAGATCTTAGTACTTTTTTTGGAGGTTATACAAATGGAGAAGTCCTATTAAACAGCTAGGTGCCGTATTATTAAAAATTTTACAAGTGAGTAAAAGAGTAAAATGATCATACATTCTGGTACCTGATAAAAGGCTATATAATGAACCATGTACCTCCACGTATTGTACCATGTATGGAGAAAGCAGTGACAACGTTGTAAGAGGAAGAAAAAAGTCTGACGACTGTAGAAAATTCAATAATAGAGTGCAGCAGAAAGAGCTGAGTATATCTCCATTTTCACTCTCACCTATGGTCACAAGCAAAAGGTATCAATATTGTTGTTGTTACTATTAATATTTTAATATTCACTTGTGGTTTATAGAGCATTTAAAAGTAGAATGGGAGGCAGAGCCTTCAGCTTTCAGGCCCCTCTTCTGTGGAAACAGGTCCCAGTGGAAGCAGTAATGCTGGACTGCATGTGATTATGAGAATAGTTTTCCACTTCCACACTTTCTATTTACAGCTCCTACACTTCTAACTGTTACAAACAAAATGGATCATATGACTCCTGTGTCCATGCTGTTCTCTGAGATGCTTATGATTTAGCCATCTGTCCTCTTACACGTATCCATTTTAGGGTTGCAGGCATGTTGGAGCCCATTCAAGTTGGCACGGGGTGAGAGCTGGGGTACATCCTGAACTGATCGTCAGTCGCTGTCAGAGTTGTTTGTAATTTGTTATTCATGTGGGTTCTTCATATTTATGTCCTTGGAGCACTAATAAATTTGGCCCTAGCATTAAACAGTTGTACTCTCAGGTCAGGGTAAATGCATTCAGACTGGTCTACACAGTATTTTTTCCACTCTCCTTGCATTTGGTTCCTCCTTATTTCTCTCTTGCCTTCTGTTTGAATTTATTTTATATTTTTTTTGTCGGTCAAAGCACTTTAGAAGGTGCTTTATAAAAAAAGTTATTTCAGTTAAAAGAAAGCAATAAGAAGAGATCATTTCAAGGAAGTGACTTCCTGATTAATTCATTTACTGAAATAAAGAGTTTGAGTCTGATTAGACTTTGATGACGCTCCATAGCAGAGCAAAGTGTACCGAGGGTCTGTCCAGGGTCTGTGGAGTACACATAAATTACCACATATGTTAGAATTTAACTGCCAAGTCTCATTTTTTAGAGCTCTTGTACATAAGAAACACTGATTGTTTAGTTCTGGGGGAATTCTTTTTTTAAAGGGATGCTGTCACTGCTCTGAATACACCGTGATGGTCGAAAGAACTTCCTCAGTTAAATGTTTCTTCCAGGTTTTTGTGAATTCTGAAATAGTTAATGGTTTCTAAGACTGTCTCTACTTAACAATAAAGAGCAGAAGAAGAAGCAGAACCCCCAACCATGAGGGGCAGCCAATCAGAAGAATCAAAGTCATGCAAAGCTCCTATAGTAGAGCAAGAATGAAAACACCTAGTTGGAAGTGAGCTGAATCAGCCGTCTTTCAGTAAACATCTGCCCTTTTTGGCCTCACGTATTTTCTCTGTCTTCTGATGCAGTTTACGCAAAAACCAACATGTCAGCTGCGATCGATTACAAAGCTGGAAACATCTCTCATGTCTTATTGGAGGCTGATTTGTTTCTTTCTTCCTCAACCAGCCTGTATCCAGTGGTTCCTGGAAACGGACGCTTTGTTTCGGAGAACGAGGTGATTCTGGATAACTACTGGTTCCCGAAGAAGGTAGGAAGACACGGTTACACACATACACTCGTATGTCTTTAAGCATCTCTCTAAAATAAGCCGTCTTTTTCCAGACTCAGTTCCATCTGTGCCATTATGAAGCCTGCCACGATGAGTCCGAGTTCACAAATGCTGAGCACTTCCTCCCAGAGCGGTGGTTTCGCAGTGACACGCCGAATAGCCGCAGCGACAGAGCCAGGCCCGGCTTCTACCAGCATAACCCTTACAGCTTCATCCCGTTCGGCGTCGGGGTGCGAGCCTGTGTGGGGAAGAGGGTGGCAGAGATGGAGATGCACTTTGCTCTGTCCAGGGTGAGTGATGCAGAGCTAGTGCTTTTTTAAGGGTACCTTTTGTACCCTCTGCACAATCTGTGCACACGGGGGGCAGCTGCGTTCCTTGTGAGGATTGCCCTTTTCCAGCCTCCCTCGCCTGCTTAAAGAAAGCACCATGTGGTAGAAACTGGCATTGCATGAAAGTACAGCCCAGCTAGTTTGACTTGAGTTAACATCCCTTTAACCCAGAACACTGTTGTAGTTTCTTCACTTTCTGTTGATAGTATTAGGTAATTTTGAAAGATTGTTGGCTTTTTCTCTGGGTTTTTTTGTATTATTGTAGGTTTTAACTTACAATATAAAGCATCTGAATTGAATTGAACTGAAATATTTAAAAATATTTTTAAACCCAGGACTAAATGCTGAAAATGACACTAGATGTTCTCTCCAAGTGAAGACAGCTGCAGTACTTTATCTTCCTGCAGTCTACAGATGCTGGCTGAGCAGCAAGAAACTGATAAACTGGAAATGAAAACAGTAATAAAATGATTAGCGAGTCCTTAGAGGGAAATAAACAGAAGAAAAGCTGCAAGAAGGAATTTCTGCAAAAATGCCAAACAAAATAGAAAAGCTCCTTCTTTTGGCGCTCCAGCACTTGAATGCACTGAGACATGTATCACTTCCTCTGTCTCATCTTTATCACTAAGGACGTCTACAGGCTGTTGAATACTTCTGAAGAAGCCGGCTGGTTTAAAGTGGCATTTCAGGCTGCTGTTAAAGGTCAGCGCCTTTAGAGCGCCACAGATTTTATATTTTTAACCTTTTCGTTCATATTTAAACGGCGGACGGTCACGGCAGATGGCGGCCCCTCCCTGAGCTGGGTTCTGCTGGATGTTTCTTCCTTTTAAAAGGGAGTTCTTCCTTCCTTTCTACACACTGATGCAACCTTGTTCTTCCTTCCTTAAAGCAACACTGATGCAACCTTGTTGCATCAGTGTTGCTTTAGGGCATTATTCTTTTCATCGACAGATTGCCTAATCTTAAATAATCTGTCTCAGCTTGTTGGAATTTCTACAACTACGACCTGTTATATCTGTATTCAAGTCATGTCATAGATATGAGCATATGAAAACAGATATGCTGAAGAATGTTTGGGCTGCTTTCAGAGATGAGTCTCCCTGTGGTTTGTGTGTTTTGACATTTTCAAAAGCCAGGTTGCCTAATTAGCGTTTTAATGCAAACATCAGTCTTGGTGGCTGTGGTCAGCGTTGTTCTGTTTTCGTGTTAAAAACAGTTTTAACCCAATAGGTTCAATTGTTTACAAAGTGAATTTATAAAGAAAGGAGAAGTGCAGTTTAATGCACTTTTAGTATATATGTTATGTTCTGCAAATCAACAGAGTAAATAACTTAGGTAATCAAACATTTAGCTACAATCGGAAGCAGCCGATTTATGGGTACATTTTTTTAACACAGTCCTGCTATTGCTCTGCAGCTGATGCAGCATTACGAGATCCAGCCTGAAGATGGTGCACCGACAGTGGAGGCCAAAACTCGGACGCTGCTCATTCCCGCTAAGCCCATCAACCTGCGCTTCCTCCCCAGAGTCTGAAGATGGTGCCAGTGATGGCAAGCAGCTCGTACATTCACAATAAAAGTGCTCCCAGAAGTTTCTTTCTCAGTGTAACTTTAGTTTGAGCAACAGGCTAAAACTGCACAGAGGTACAAATGAGTAATTAGATAAAAATTTAAGGCCATTTCTGGTGTTTGCCAGTCTGGGTGTGGTGCAGTTACGCATCTGAGCCTTAATGGTGCAGATTCCTGTCAGCAGCTGCATTTAACAAATTTCAGCAATGATGGTAGTGAGTAAATCCTCAAGCCAGGTTGACACATGCAGGGATTTCTCTTTAGGAACACATTTAATGGGCACATTTATCATTTTAAAGAAATAAGCTCATAATTTATCTACACATTTATCTTTATATGTATTTCTTTATATTTCCTTAGCTAACGTCTGTTATGGTCTTTCTTTATTATTTCATAGTTGTTGTCATTCTGTTTAGTTTTAGCCCTCTGGTATAGTTCTGGATTTTTCAGCAAGTAAAGGCATGTTTTTGTTTTTTAAACCTCCTTTAGGTTTGTGCATGTGGCTCCTCAATTTACTACTCAAGTATAACTTCTTTGCACTGTCAGATCTGAGAGTACACTGGCTGTTAAAGCCGTTTAAACACATTACTTTATTTACTTTCATTAACTTTTACACTGACTTTGAGTTTGACATTGACTTTGGCTAAAGTGAATCTCTGAAGTCTTTGATGATGAACCAGTGAAGTGAAATTCTCCCTTTAAAGTTTTTAAAGATTTTATTTATGCATGTATTTACACACAAAAGAGCTGTTTTATCTTTCATAAACATATTTGTGCAGGAAGTAATTTCATATTTTTCTTCCTCTTTCAGAGAAGCCAGAAAGAGAGAAAAGGGACTTCTCTGCAGAGTTTAGATGTTCACACAAAATTGAACCTAATGCCCAAATCTTGCCTTCTGCATTATATAATCACTGTAATTGTATAACAATGAGTCCTAATATCACAGTGTGTGTGTGTGTGTGTGTGTGTGTGTGTGTGTGTGTGTGTGTGTGTGTGTGAGAGAAAATGCCAGTCTAACTCCAAGCACTTTGCTTTGCATACCTGTTTTTATTAATCTCTTTGGTGCATGTAAAGCTGGAGCAGGTGGGGCTCAAAGCTCAGATGTTGGAAGTGTGAAAGTACTTATGCAGATGGGTAGTGCACACTGCCCCCTTGTGACAATAAGGAGGAACGGCAGGCTGTATACATATTTAAAGTTGAGGTTAATAAAATATTTTACACCGATCGCTGTTTGTTTTGCTGTAAGCTCAGCATCAACCACACAGAGGAATAAAGTTGGAGAGAGTGTGTGAATTTACTGAAGGAAAAGGAATTTTTGAACAATTACAATATCACATGTAGACGTGGTGATTGTGATCCCAGTAAAGATGAAATGTTTGTGTTTTTTTCTAAATAAATCAAGTATTTTCTTTATTTTTGACTTTTTAATTCACATTCACTGCAGTCTGGCCATTCCCCTTTAACCTCTGACATCACGAGGCTTTGGCTTGACTCAGTGGATATTTGTGGTAGCTTAACAGATGTAGGTAAGTGTACAGTATTGTGCAAAAGTCTTAAGTCACCCCTCAGTTCTTTATATCTTCCTATTAAAATGAGAAATAGGTGCAGCTACTGAAACATGAAGCATGCATGAAAATAAGATACATAAGGTAAAAAACTGCGTTTTGCACAACTCTAACAAGCTTGAAAGTCAATATTTGTTGTGACCACCTTTATTCTTCAGCACAGTCTGAACTCTCTTAGGCAGCTTTCTTGTCGTGTCTTTAAGTCGTCTTCAGGAATAGTTCTCCAGGCTTCTTGAAGGACATTCAAAGCTCTTCTTTGGATGTTTCTGCCTTTTGTTCTGTTCTCTGTCCACATGATCCCACACTGCTTCAGTAATGCTGAGGTCCGGGCTCTGGGGAGGCCGATCCATGAGTAATAGTGCTCCACTGTGTTGTGTGTGTTTGTTTGTTTTTTAAATTCAGGTATGTTTTTGTTTATGCCGCTGGTATTTGAGTGTGTTTATAAACTCAAAACAAAACAAGATGTCTCTATCCAAACATCAGTTTTGGCTCTTTAAGCCATTGTTAAAGAATGCAAAGAGAAGGCATGACTGTACATGCACGAGGAAAATCAGGGACACCTACACGGTGTTGCGTGAGTCCTGTGAGGTTTCCCAGTTTGAACGATGCACTGATGTGATATTAAAGAGATTACACACGACAGTCTGATTTTTATTTAAGGAGACAGGAGGACAAAGTCTCTTTTCTAAGGACAGATAAGTGAGATTTGAGATGAGAGTTTTTCCAGAGCAATTTTATCTTTTTTTTTTTACGAGTGACAGTACGCACAATCAAATATCACAAGTAACTGAATCTGACATATAATAAGAGAGAAACTTTCATAACATATTGAACAATTACCTACACTCTTTGGCCCCTTTAGTAGGTACACCTTGCTAGTACAGGTTGGACCACCTTTTTCCTTGAAAGATGTGATGGGAACATTCCAGTTTGAGATGATCTGAGTTTTATGACATGTGGGTGAGATTTTTCTGTGTAGTTTAGATAAAGCTACAAAGACACACACAGACACAAATGGGGGGGGGGGTTATGATCATGTGGTCAATGTTCTGGCCAACCGATGACAGACCAAGTGTTACTGAAGGTCGTTGGGGTTTATTTCTGATTAAATGTGGGAGGAGAAATCTCAGCAGGTACATAAGACTGGAGGCAGAAATCAGTCAGTAAAATACTCCTATAATTAGTGACAGGTGTAAATATGACCTCTCGGCCTTTAAACGCTGCTGCTGTACTTCTGTGACTTCTTCACTCTTGTTGTCAAATGCTAAAAGTTCCTTCTGGTTCTGTTTAACTGGTATTTAGAAGATCCTTCTATTTAGGGGACCCCATGACTTGTAATTCCATTTGAAATACTCGGGGAGTGTGCTCCAAGGCCTTTACCAGCAGGTAGTGCCTGTAGCCTTCGATATCAGAGCAATACTGAATTAATATTAAATAAACAGTATAAAAGGAAGCTTCATCCTGTGGTTGCATTTAAGAGCTCAGCCTCTAGGAGCCGCTGCTAGAATTTAAATGTCCCTCCTTCATAATCAGTAAAGCCGTGCAGGCTCTGACAAGTGAGCCCTCGTCATTTATTTTTTATTTTTTATTTTTTGCAGAGGCCATCCTCTACCCGCTTAATGCGAGCGGCTCAGTATCCTCCAACTATCCATCCAGCCGGCCATCCAACCAGCCCACAACCCGGATCATCCAGCAGCTCTTTTTGTTTGCTCACACACAGCTCTGCTTTATATCCGGCATGTAACGGTTATTTTACTAATCGATTGCTGTAAGACTTTCTCCCCGATGGATGACTAGTCCGAGCGGCCGGGGATCCACCGCCCTGCAGGCTGCCGGGGAACACTGAGCACGCCGTCCGGGGTCAAAACGGTGGAAATGGTCGGTGTTTCGGGCTCGGGAGGCTCCTTTGGCCGTGATGCGAACGCGGACGAGGCGCGTCAACCTGTCGGGGATGATGGTAAGTGGCAGATTAACGCGCACGGCGCGCTTTATTTGTCTCAAACACTTGCTGTCAAACATCAGGAAGGAGCGCATCTTTATTTTAACTGATGCTTTTAGCTGGAGAGGACGTGTTTTTACGCACTAAAATGCAGACTCTTTGGGATTTAACTGAGGCCAGCTGGCTTCCTGTGATGGATGCTGAGCTCCGGTGATGTCTGACCCGGATGGCCGCATCGGGGTCGATCTTTGGTTGGAGTCAGTTGCTTCTCATTATAGCAGATGGATGGATGGATAATGGATGGATGGAGTATTTTTAGAGAGGGCTGAGAGCATGTCTGTCTGAGTTTGAGCATTCCCAGAGGTCCCTGAAGTGATCTGAAACAAACTCCGGATTGGTTTTAAGCCTGGTTTAACCTCCTGATTTAGAATTTTAGGACTAGGATGATTAATTTTAGAAAATAAACATGATAGTTAAAGCAGTCGCTAATTTCACTCATAAACTGGGGTTAAATTTGGGAAATTGGAGCTAAAATTGGCATTCAGATTCTTTGGTACTGAAACGTGAGTGGATTCATTGATATATAAAGCTAACTAGCAGCACGTTTTGGTTCCACCTCTCAGGTGTTTAACGTAGACCTTTGCCAATAACAGTTATTTAAAGGTTTAACATCATCCCAGAATTACGTTTGCAATTAGAAGAGTAATGATCTAGTCCGTAAAATGTTGGGAAATGTTGGAAAAACTGCATCACACTATCCTGGAAATCCTCCTAAATACTATTTTTAGTCCAGATCTTTGGTGTACAATCACGGCATTAAGAGAAACCCAAGTATCATTGTGTTTGAGAGGCTGGAAGCAGAGAAAGGTTGAAATTCAGCTTTAAAAAAGATTTAGGTGATCAATTTGTCACATAGAGTGATTAATTTTCTGTCATTTTTTGGGGGGGTTTTATCAGTTGTGGTTCTATAGTGTAGAGGTCCATTGATTTGAGAACAGGAGGATACATAAATCCCTTAGAGTTGGATCAGGAAGGGCGTCCGGCATAAAAATCTGTCAAAAATCTGTCAAATTAGATATGAAGAAATACCTACAGAAGAAGCTGAAAGTAGCACTAAGTAATCCAAGTTAAATTTAACAGAGTTCACAACTGCAGTCAAGAGAGAAAGAAGTCTTGTCTCTCCCAATCCAACCTCAGGCATGCCTATGCCTGCAGTGGGAAGCAGTAAATCCAAAGTTCTCAGTTGGAGTTTTCAGCTGTGACGACCTCGTAAAGTCAGACTTTGTGATTCAAGATGGCAGCAGAGTGTTGTAAACCGTAGAACCTGTAATCTGAACCACCGTTTTTGAGTATTTGTGTTTTGCTAACTAAGCTGTATACAGACCAGACTGTGCCCATGAACATTTTTGTAGATATAAGCCCCTCCCCCCAAAAAACAAATACTATATACTATAAAGGGTTCAGCGTAGTGTATCTTTCACTTACCCAAATGCTTGCAATCAGGATAAATGGTCACACAAAGCTAGTTATAAACTAACGCAGCATTTATGCTGATTATTCACATGAAATACGCGGTGTTTCCAGCATCTGACCAATCTAAAAGGGGCGTTTCGCAGAGCATATGACTTTTATTCCACAGAAAATTATACCTATGAGCATCACCTATTCTAGAGACATTATCAAATGGTTGCCAAATAAAAATTAATAAAGAACTTAAGACATGTACCCATAAAACTGTGCAAAATTATTTTCTGCCAACACAAAAAAGGAATAAAGTTGCATTTAAGAATCTATATTTATTACTGATCCCCATCAGAGAAACACAAAGACACTGAAAAACTGTTCTCCCTGCAGAGGTTCAATAAATCTTTGGTTGGAAGTGAAAGACCTTAGGAGTACAGTAAACTCAGAGCCAACCTTAAAGATACCTGGATAAGATAAAGTTTAGTTTTTTAGTGCAGGGCTCAGGTATTGCTGTTGATCATTGAGTGGCCCTACCTCGCTAGAGAGCAAAACAAAGCCTGTTTTTCTGGCGACTGCCAATGGAAACGTGGCTGTGTTGTCACTCTGAGCTCTGACATCCAAGTTCTGAGGGGAAAGTTTTATAATTTATACACACCTGGTCAGGTGTAGACAATCAGAAATTAAATCCAGGCTACACGTCAGTACTGCAGTGCAAAGCATGGGTTGCAGAGAAGTGTGACACAAACAACTGATTGATCTCTGAAGTCAATATTTTTCAGAACGAACCTTCAGAACGAACCTTACAAATATCACTTACATATGATTTTTAAACATTTTTTTTAATCACACAGTAATTTAGACTTCCTGTTGCTGCTATGACTGTGGCACACTGTGTGCTATGACTGTAATGGAGGAGGTCACTTTAAGAGGGATGGACTTGAATGATGTAGATGATAAGGTGCTGACTCTATGAATCCACAATCTCAACAGGGTTGTCCGATAAGAACAGATGGCGTATCCACAAAATCCACTGCCACTCAGGTATCTGTTGTTCACTCATTTATTTAACAAGAATCCGAAGCACACATCCATAATGTGAGTGAGGGGATTTAACAGGCTGTAAAATGCTATATGCCATGTGGTGAGTGATGGTGTGGTTTCTGGTGGAAAGAACATAAAAGTCTTCCATAATTATGTGAACAGAGTGTATTAAATGTGTAATACAACAATACAAACAATACTGGATAGTGGATCATTCAACCAAATAAGGCAGTATCAACAGATGATATCTTACTCAGCAGATGTGGCTCCGTTCGTGAGTTCTGCAAACTGGCTGGCCTTTTGTACAATGACCGTGACTTAATATTAGGTTATAGATGTTTTCTGCCACAAGCTTCAAACACCACAAAGTTTGGGGAAGATTGAACAATTTGTGAGTTTAGCTGCTTCTTGTGCTGCGGCGAAACATCGAAATTCGCCAAGATGTTGCACGAAAATCCAAATGCTTTATAAATTAGCACTGCACTGACCTCAGTGAGACTTAGTTTCTCTTTTAATGAAGTAGTTAATTAATGATTTCACTCTTCTTTTATTTGGTTTTTATTTATATCTCATGTAATTTTATTTTACAGTTCCAATGTACAGCACTTTGTGTCAGCTGTGGTTGTTTTAAAGTGCTTTATAAATAAAGGTGATGATGATGATGATGATGATGATGATGAATCAGAAAAGAGGGCTTCCCAGGGTGTACTTGTGTACTAACAATTTGACAATTGCAAGGCAAACATAGCTGCTACATCTATTTTTATTCCATAACTTACTTAATAACACATATATTGCCTACAACAAAGGTGTTATCTTTAAAGGATGTGTTTAAAATATTCATATTGTCAGAATATGATAAAGTAAAGCAGCAAGTTCTCAGCTTAGAGAATCTGTAACAAGCACATGTTTGCCAGTTTTGTTTGGGGGAAAAACGAAGTGGTTATTCAAGCAACATAATAGTTGCCTAACTAATTGCTGCAGCTAAAAACAATCAGCTCAAGCTGGCTGCTAGATAATTTTCAGCACTTAATGAACACTTTAAGTCTAAAATATTAAACAAACATTAATCAAGAAGGCACCTAGTCTGTAGCTGCACTCGTTACTGGAGGCAGTGGGTGAGCGTTGAAGGCTTTTAATGTGTTTCTATTTTCGGCTCGTGTAGCTGTGTAAGAAGCTGCAGAAGCTGGAGACACCCAGCTGTCCTCCCCACACATCAAGCTGAAACTCTGGATAATTCTGCCTTTTCATGTATCAAACTTTAACCATTTATTGCAGCAGTGGAGATGCAAGGCTTCGCACCAAGAACTGCAATCAAGTATTTGTGATAACTGGCGATGAGTCTTTCACATCTCTGAATTTTGGGACACTCTTCTTTGTAGAATTGCTTTAACCTCCTAAGAACTCTTTCACGGCATGCATTTTTCATTTCTCTTTGCTATTTGGGCTGATTGGGACCTGATGAATGTAAAAACAAAGAATTACATGATTTTTCTTTTAAACCTGATTTCTGTTTCTGAGAAAAATGAGATCCAGTGGCAGCATAATATCCTCGTAAGTGGATATCAGGCTCTTGTAGAAAGCAGAATTCATGGTTCCATCAGTTACAGCAAGTCATCCTAAAGCAGCAAAGCAGCCCCAGGCTGTCACACTGCCACCACCATGGTGTGATGTTCTTTTTATGAAGTACTGTGTTTTTTCTATGTGAGATGTAACGGGACTCAAACCTTCCATAAAGTTCAATTTTTGTCTCATCAGGCCACAGAATATTTCCCCAAAAGTCCCCAAAAGGATCATCAAGAATTTTTTTGTTGTGTTGCTTTTTGAAAGCTTTTAACGTGATTCACCTTGTCAGTCCCTCAGCTGACAGTTTGTTCATGATTTACCAAAGGGCAAGTACTTTTTTTTACTCAACCCTCCATTGTTGGTGGTTGACATCTGATTGTCCCCCTGACGGTCAGTCTTCACTAGAGTTTAAAAACATGAAACTTTCCACCTCTTGGTTTAAGAATTGTAGAAGCCACTTGAGAAATGAAACATCTTCCAGTCACTTTTCTTTTTCAAGCTCTTAAGACTATCTGGATGACTGAGAATTTACATAGCCATTAATCCCAGGAGGAAGCTAGAAAAGTTGCCCATGCTTTTTATATCTAGTCATCTGCTCACAGAAATATCAAAAGGTTTAGTTACTGAAGTCATTGCATTGGTTTGTGGTTAGCTTGGGAGCTTATTTAAGACCTTGAAGGGTTTGGTACCTTAGTACCTCTGTGACATGCTGTCTGCGGCCTGTGTCTACCAACAATTTTTCATTTGCTGCAATATTATTAGTGTTTAAAAATAAAAACAGTAGTCTACTTCCTGGTCCCAGTAATCATGTTACCTCATTTCTAGCTGCTTTATCAATTTCAGGTTACTGGTCTGTTGTTGGGTTCTATTATTATCATATTGAATTTCTGTTTATTTTATGGATTTAACCTTAGCTGTTGTCTTCTTTTTATGTTTTGTCTTTGCCA